AACCCCTAAAAACCTAAACCCTGAACCCTAAACCCTGAACCCTAAACCTAACTGACAGCGATTGAAGCGGCGCGTTCGACCCCGGGTTACCCAAGCACAGCTGTGCTCGAGAACTTGAGCTGCGGCTTCTGGTTTAGGGACTTTGGGTTTAGGGTTTAGGGTTTAGGGTTTAGACTTAAGGCTTAGGATTTACCCTAACCCCTAAACCCAATAGGGTATAGGGATGTTAAGGAGGTCTGGACCACGATCATGGGTGCAGGGATCGACATCGACCAGTAGCTGGGGATCTGGTACTAAGGGTTTCGGGCTTAGTGTCTGGGGTTCAGATTTCAGGGTTTAGGGTTTAGGGTTTCGGGCTTAATATTTGGGGTTCAGGGTTTAGGGTCTAGGGTCTAGGGCTTTGGCGTTCAGGGTTTGGGGTCTGGGGTTTCGGCATTGGTGCTCCGCATTTAGTATAACTGCGTATAGTTTATATAGTTGCCTTCATGCTTAGAATAGGGCTCCCTGAAGGGTTCCTTTGACAGGTCTATATAAAGGGATCTATGAGTTTTAGAAGCATTTACAAGGGGGTTCGATCTAGGTTGCGATCCCATAATGCACGTACCCACCTGCTCACAGATCTGCAGGTCGGCCAAGACCTCATCCGCATCTTCATCTTCAATGTGCCTGGCTTCAGATGTCGTGTTTGGTGTTTAGGGTTTGGGGTTTGGGATTTAGTCTCGACCATTTCTGCACAACGCACAACTTCTATTTCCAATTTAGACCCTGGTCCCGCAGAAATCAAGAAATTAGCTTGTCGGGTGGTGTGTTCAAGGGTTTAGGCTTCAGGGTTCAGCGTTTAGGGTTAGGGTTTAGGCTTCAGGCTTTAGGGTTTAGGCTTTCGGGCTCAGGGTTTGGGCTTAGGCTTCAAGGTTCGGGGTTTAGAGAGTTTAAACCCTAAACCCTAAACCCTAAACCCTAAACCCTAAAACCCTAAACCCTAAACCCTAAACCCTAAACAATAGTCTCAACTCCTGAGAATTCCCAACGAGTCCCCTTATGAACCCCCTTCTAGTCGGCTAGCAAAACCTTTCTTGCCAAGCGTCCAAGCCCTTCCACAAGAACGAAAATACATGTACATACATATAAAGCAAACATACACACATCCTGAAACCCTAAACCCTAAACCTTATACATCTATACATCTATATATATATATATATATACACACACATAACATGTGTTTACACACATAAGGTATGTGTATATATACATATATATATATATATATATCCACTTTTACTTCTGAAGGCGGTGCGAGAACAAAAATGCAAACAGAAATCTATGCAAACACGAACCATAAACCTCGAACGCCCTGGAGCCTTAAAGGCCTTACACCAGCAGCTAAAGTGTAAGAGACAACACCAAAGCCTGAAACCTGAGACAACAGGCTTAAGGTTTAGGGTTTAGGGCTTAGGGTGTAGAGCTTAGGGTTCAGGATTTGAGGTTTAGGGGGATGAGCCCCAACACCCCCACAAGTCACTGACCTGGCGATCGCATGGACGACCACGTGCCGGCTCTGATCGCAGTAGTACTCGCTCTCCGGAATAGGCTGCACCCTGAGCTGTTGGGATTTTTTGGGGTTGGGATTTGGGGTTGGCAATGTTTGGGAAGCCCTAAAGGGTTTAGGGCTTCTGCAAAGCCTTGTCTAAAGTTTACCGCTTCAGGTGTAATAGCGAAGGGCTGCGGGTGTTCTGCGGGCAACATGGCGGTTATATAGGGCTTTGCTTGGTAGGCCTTGGGATATGAGTTACGGGTTTAGGTTTTTGCTGCTTGGGATTTGATTTTGGTCACAGGCTCAAATGGAGATTTCATAGCATCCGGGGCTTAGTGTCTAGCATTCACGAAACAAACCGGGGAGACTGGAATAACAGACAGGCCTAAATAGTGACTAGCAGCTCGACTAGGGCATGAAAGCGTCTTCAAGACCAAACGTTGTAGTTTAGGGTTTAGGGTTTAGGTTTAGGGTTTAGGCATTAGGTTTTAGGTTTTAGGTTTTAGGGTTTAGGGTTTAGGGTCTAGGGTTTACGTATGGGAAGAGCCCTTTTTCTTGTCCTGGTGTATCTCGTCATCTCCGCCACGGTCATCAGCATCAATATCAACAAACCGCCACCCGAATCCCCAGTCTTGGTAAATCATGCATTTGCCATTGCTGTCCTTGGGATTTAGGGTTCAGGGTCCTGGTTATTGCAAATCTTCCGATTGCTGAGACTACCTAGAAGTCCGCATGGTACGGCCATGCCGTCGAACAGGTTGTGGTGATTGAAAGACATGACCAATGCCAGCATGGTCAATCTCAGGGCTATGAAAATCTTGACTGTTGTGTCGCTGTTACCATGTCAAGTCGTGCTGCTGCTTGCAGCGTCTTCATACCTGCTTCCTAAATGGCGAACCACGCGTTGAAGGCTTTGAAAGCCTCACCTACACACGACCAAAGCAAATTGCGCTTCCCAAGCTGGGTAACTCGAACTCAAACTGTACATGACACAACCTACTTCCACCCTAAGCTTTCCACCCGAGCTCAACAGTAACATCATCAGCATTCAGGGACGCCGATGGTGAGCTAACGAGATACAGTGATGGGCCTGTTGACAGCAAGATCTACGTACAGTGTAGAGCCAAAGAACCCCATACCCCTAAACCCTAAACCCTAAACCCTAAACCCTAAACCCTAAACCCTAAACCCTACACCCTACACCCTAAACCCTAAACCTTAACCGCACTTTTCACAGCTTGCCAAGGCCTTACGACCAGTTCATGCTGGGCCAGAGTTCATTGGCATCGCGCGCAGTCTTCCTCTCTTCCCCAACAACCAGACCCAAAAAAGTTCAAACTTTCTACAGTAGACAAAAATACAAAGTCAAAAATTTTAAAGTTGTCCCATTGGCTATCTAAGCTTCACATCGTCATCTGAGGAACGTGGAGTCCAGGTGATTGGTGGCCAGAGATCCGGCCCATCCCACTTCGGTGCATCCTCGGCTTCGTCCGCCTCCTTCTCAGGGCTTAGAGTGTTTGGGGTTTGTGTGTTTGGGGAGGATTTCGAGGTTGAGGGTTTAGGGTTTAAGGTTTAGGGTTTAGGGGTTTGGGGCTTTGGGGCCTAGGGCTTAGGGTTGAGGGGGGCTCTGTCTCCTCCTTCTTCTGTTCGGTAAGGGCTCGTGGCACCTCATCGCGAGCCTCAGCCTTCGCGTCCTTTGAGGCTGGAGACCAGTGCATCGGTGGCCAAAGATCGAAGATGTCATGTTGGGCCGTATTACCATCTGAAGCCGACGCATCACTCTCGCTGTCTGAAGCACCACGTGGCGTCCAATAGATGGGGGGCCATAGTTCCTCTCGATCGATTGGCATGGCGCCGCTCGCTGCAGCTAATTCGAATACGGGCGTCTGCTGTTTGAATAAGGTTTCAGCGTATATTATGTTGTAAACTTAATGCTATGCTAGACATACTAATAAATCGGTGCAACCACTTACCCGACACTTTCTGATGATTGCCTTCGCCTCGTGCTTCGAATCCAGCTTCCTCTACACGAATACGGTTGATGATACAAATCCTGCAGTCCCTTAAGGACCCTAACCTATAGGAATTACGGTATATTTCTTACTATGGGTCATGCAGGATGTATATCATCAAGGCCGCTAAACCCTAAACCCTTATAGTAGGCCTTATAGAACCCTTTAAGGAACCCTTGAAAGGAACCCCAAAACCCAACTCCTTATATCATCAACCGTAGCAAGCCCCAAACCTCCTGCACGCACTCAAGAAGCCCCCCTGAACCCTAAACCCTAAACCCTAAACCCTAAACCCTAAACCCTAAACCCTAAACCCTAAACCCTAAGCCTAAACCCTACCTTGAGCCCAAACGCGAGTGGCCGCAGATTTCCTGGCCAGGTTTCCGAGGCGCCCAGATCTTCCAAGATTCGGGGTGTAGGGTTTAGGGTTTAGGTTTAAGGTTTAGAGTTTAGGGTTTAGGGTTTAGAGTTTAGGGTTGGGGTTTGGGGTTTGGGGGGTTTAGGGGTTTAGGGGTTGGGGTTTGGGGTCTTAGTTCTGTTGCTTGCGCTCTCGTCTTGTTGTGAGCGACCCAAATTGGAAGAACTAGCCAGACGCCACCCCAAACCCTAAACCCTAAACTCTAAACCCTAAACCCTAAGCCCTAAACCCCGAGCTTCAGAAACCCGAGGTCAAAGACTTTGAACCGTCCTTTGACCGCTGAACACCCAAAGCCTCATGTAGAGGCGGTAATGCCTAGAATAAAGGACGCTTTCTGAAAGAGCTTCTAGAGGGGCTTGCTATAGTTAGTATACCTGTTTAGGGCTTCTAGAGGGTTTGCTATAAGGGTTTACCCTAAACCCTAAACCCTAAACCCTAAACCCAAACCCTAGTTTAGTTTATGAGGGTTTAGGATGGTTTAGAGCTTCTAGAGGGTTTGCTGCAAGGGCTTAGTGTAGGGGCCTAATTAATTCAGAATAAGGCTTTGGGGTATGTCGTAATACAACTAGAATATGGAGCCCTAACGAATACTATTCGACCCTGAGCCTCATCCCTCAAAACAAACATGCAGGGTTTGGGGTTTAGGGTTTAGGGTTTAGGGTTTAGGGTGTAGGGTGTAGGGTTTAGGGTTTAGGGTTTAGGGTTTAGGGTTTAGGGTTTAGGGTTTAGGGTTTAGTGCTTACGGCTTAGGGTGTAGGGTTTGGGGTTTAGGGCTTACCTTCAGAACCCCAAACCTACTTTTTTGTAGGGTCCCTATAAATTCCATATTAGGGTTTATAACAAGAACCTACAAAAAAAAGTAGGTTTTGGGCTCTTAAGGTAGGGCCTCAAAAGACCAAGCTCTTAAGGTAGGGCCTCAAAAGACCAAGCTCTTAAGGTAGGGCCTCAAAAGACCAAGCTCTTAAGGTAGGGCCTCAAAAGACCAAGCTCTGTGCATACTAGGCTCAGGCGCACCAGGCGACGCATCCGCAACGAGCCATCTTGGGCGGTCAAGATGACTTCCACCTGGGGGGCATTCTAGGGTTCCAGGGCTCCTTGCGGTTTAGGGTTTAGGCTTTAGGGTTTAGGGTTTAGGGTTTAGGGTTTAGGGTTTAGGGTTTCTTGGCTAGAAACATAGTACAATGAGCCCCAAAACCCTTTTCGAAATATTGAAGCCCTGATATTGATGGTCTTCGGTCCTTGGGCCTCTCTTGGAAAATGCTACTTTGGGACTTAGACTTCGGGTTTAGGGTTTGGGTGTTTAGGGTCTAGGAAACCCTAAACCCCAAATCCTAAACTGCGGGTTTAGGGCTTAGGGTTTAGATTTGGGGTCTCAGGTTCAGATTTCGGGTTTGGTGGTGTAAGGCAGGAACCTGATCAACACAGCCTTGGGGTCCTGAACCCCCTCCTCAAGAACTCTCAAGGTTCAGGGGTATGGTGACTTTCCTGTGGCTTGGGATATTGCTTCGGATACTTGGCAGTTATTTCGGTTTCGGGGACTTCGAAACCCGGTCCCAGAGGCTCGCAATCAAGAAAGCCGACGTTAGTAAAACACTCGAAGTATACTTGATCGGCCAAAACTTCATTGGGGTGCCTGTCGGGAGAGACCAAAACTCTAACAAAACTAAATCCTAAACAGTTGCCATCCCTTTCTTGCAAACCTTTGAAAGCCTTCACCCCAAGTCCGAAAGCCTTGAAACCCCAAGCGCAAACGGATCGAACCCAAAGTCCAAGACTGTAGTCCTAAACCCTAAACCCTAAACCCTAAACCCTAAACCCTAAACACCCTAAACCCTAAACCTTACGGCGTAAACCATTAAACGCTGTGCTCCAAACCCACTTCACACATAAACGCCTTGAGCCCTAATTCCTAAACCATGCAACTCTTTTGAAACCAGCTGCCGCCCACCTTGAGAGCTTGCTGCAGCGCCTGTATCGCAGCAGAGGATGAGGACGAAGATGAGGACGAGGACTCCACTGCCGGGAGCGGCGTGCTCCTGAATTGGGCTTCAGCTGAGCTTGGGGTGTAGCGGAGGCTGGGCTGGGCTGGGCTGGGCTAATCTGAACTAACCGCCTCCTCGCACACGTTTAATGAAAACTCGAAACTCATGAAGATGCAGTTCGACGCGAAATTCACACAATTTCTATCTATCCTGTTCTTGAGGGTTTAGCACGGCTTTGGGGTTTCGGGTTTTAGGGTTTTGGGTTTGGGGTTTGGGGCTTCGGCGTTCAGGGGTTTCAGGAGGTAGAGGTTCATCAATAGAGTAGTCTCAGCCGAAGCCCCCATCGACAAAAAGCTGACACCCCTAACCAGACCACAAACCCCCCAGTACGAAGAGCCAGCGCCACCATAAGGAGCTACGTTGATGATATAAATCCTGCCTAACCCCTACTAAGAAATATACCATAATTTCCTTAGTTCAGGGGCCTTAAGGTAATGCAGGATTGATATCATCAACAGTAATGTAAAGTGTTTCCCTAAACCCGGCCCAAAACCCTAAACCCTAAACCCTTCTTGCTAATCTTCCCCAAAGAGGGCGGACTTGTCAAACCCCAAGAAGCAAAACCCTAAACCTTAAACCCTAAAGCCCAAACCCCTAGACCCTACACCCTGAACTCGAAAGCCTAAGCCCTAAACCGTAAACCCTGAAGCTCTAACCCCAGGATCCTAAACCCGAAAGAACTCGGGGTTAGGGTTTCGAGTTTCGGGTTTAGTTTAGACATTAGGGTTTAGGGTTTAATTAGGGTTTAGGGTTTCATTGGAGTTCCGAGTTTAGGGTTTAGAAATTAGGGTTTAGGGTTTCATTAGGGTTTAGGGTTTAGGGTTTGGGGCCCAAAACCCTACACCCTGAACTCTAAACCCCAAACCCTCACCCTAAGGCCCTAAACCCTAAACCCTAAGGACGAAGCCGAAGGCTCCGCAGCTCTTCCACGGACTTGTCAAGGATCTTGGTCACCAGCGCCCTTGCTTTACTTCAAGGCTCAGGTTTAGGGCGTAATAGGGTTTAGGGTTTAAGGTTTAGGGTTTAGGGTTTAAGGTTTTGGGTTTTGGGTTGAGGGCTTCTCGTCTTTTTTCCGGGTCTTGCAAGGCTTTGGGTGGTTTAGGACTCGTGGGTCTGGGCGCTTTAGGGCTTCAGCGCTTCGGCTGCAGATCGCTTGTGCAATGCCCCAAAGCCTGACAACTCCTGAGCCCAAAAGAGGGTTTAGGGTTTAGGGTTCAGGTCAGGGTTTAGGGTTTAGGGCTTAAAGACCCAAATTGCAGCACTGAATCCAAGCCTGGAGCCTTAAAACCCCAAGACCCTAAAGCCCTGAAGCCCTAAACTGCCCTAAAGCCCCAAACCATAAAATCCGAAACCCTACCAAACCCGAAAACCCCGCAAAACCCACAACCCCACTGTCTTGCCCACCAGCGGCTGGGCATCCGGATGCAAAGACTTGCATTTAGATCTGATCGCTTCTTGCAGCTCTGCTGTCCAAGCGCCAAACTCCTAGGATGAAAGCTTTAAGGAAACAGGGTTAGTTTGGGGTTTAGGGCTTAGGGCTTGGGGTTTGTACGAACGGGGGAACACCGGGGTTGTTGTTATTCCTGATTTGTCAGGCGTCTATGTTGTTTGGGCTTGTGTTTCTCTGCTGGCCTCTCAGAACCATACCCGACGAAGTAAACGCTAAGCAGCAAGCCCTTGACCCTAAAATTAAGTCTCGGCCAGTAGCTTGCAACCTCATCAGTCGAAGACGTATCTAAAAAACGACAGCCCTTGCAAAAAGACTTCCAAACAACATGACTAACGCCACGTTGAGAAAGGGTTCGGGTTTAGGGACCCAAAACCTTAAACCCTCAACCAAACCCTCAAACCTAAACCCTGAACCCTAACAACCATATACTTTCCCTTGTAAGGGCTCCCTTGTAAGGGTTCCCTTCTAAGGGTTCCCTTCTAAGGGTTCCCTTCTAAGGGTTCCCTTCTAAGGGTTCCCTTGAGGGCTTTGTGTAGATCGAGGCTCTGTGGCCCGGGCCACTTCGATCTGCAGCTGAGCTTCGACCTTTCGGTTTTTCGGTTCAGGTGAAAAGGTTTAAGGTTTCAGGGTATCGAGTTTATGGTTTAGGGTTTCAGGGTATCGAGTTTAGGGTTTAGGGTTTCAGGGTATCGAGTTTAGGGTTTAAGGTTTCAGGGTTTCGAGTTTAGGGTTTAAGGTTTAGGGTTTCGAGTTTAGGGTTTAGGGTTTGGGGTGTCGAGTTTTGGATTTAGGTTTTCGGGGTTTAGGGTTTGGGGTTTAGGGTCTGGGGCTTCGGAATCAGGGCCTGGGGCATGTATACAGTGTGCGCGCGGCGGATGCGCTTTTTTAAGGAATGGGGGCGCACCCACTTACAGCACGCTTGCGGCAGCATGTAGTCCCGCCCCCAACCACCGCAACCTATTCTCAATTAGGGTCCAGGGCTCAAGCCCCCCAAACCCCCTCAAGAAAGGCTTTCTTGCTCTTTGCTTCCTTTCGCAGTTCCACATCACTCGGCCACATTTCATAGCAAACCACAGCTGAGATACATTGGTGTCGGGTTGTGGACGAGAAGCAAGGGATTCAACGAACAACCCGCGTCTTTCTCTGCTCTGACGGCAGACGTCACTAATGTAGGGGCCTTCATAATTAGAATAGGGTTTTGGGGTATATGATACTATCAGTTATAAACAAGGAACCCCCTAGATAGTATAGGTAATTATTAAAACCCCTGCATTGCAGCCCTCGTCTACCGGCCCCTAACCCTAAACCCTAAACCCACGGTTTAGAGTTTAGGGTTTAGGGTTTAGGGCTTAGGGTTTAGGGTTTAGGGTTTAGGTTAGGTTATAGGGCTTAGGGCTTTAGGGCTTAGAACTTTAGGGCTTTAGGTTTAGGCAAGTTCAGGCTTTTAGCTTAAGGATTTAGGTTTTAGTTTGGGGTCTCTGTAATATGGGTAACTGTCAAAATCATCGTCCCTTTGGGGAATCCTGGAAAAGTCTACTCCTAATACGGCACCCTATACTTTGGGGAACCAAAAAGAGGCTCTACTTTGGACAACCACAAAAACCCCTAAAACCCAAACCCTAATTAAACCCTTAAACACTAAACCCTTAAGCCCTAAACCCTCAACCCACAACCCTAAACCCTTAAAGACCCCAAAACCCGAAACCCTACTTAGGGGCCCGGGGGACTTAGTAAGTCGGTGATAAGTAGGGTAGTCATTGGGGTAACTCCATTTACAATACTTATAACTCGACTTATAATCTACTGTACTTACTAAGTCCCTTGGGCGTCCAAGTAAACTCAAAACGCCGACCGGAGCGAAAAAACTCCCAACTTCTGCCTGGCTGAGCCGCATCCGCTTGCTGGAGCCCAGCTGATGCACGGCTGATCCTGCGGAGAACGACCGGGGTGGGAGGGGTGTTGAGGTTTTAGGTTCAGGGCTAGGGTTTAGGGTTTGGGGTTTAGGGTGTAGGGTTTGCTGTTAAGAAAATTCGTTTAAGTCACCATAATAGGGATCTATTGTACATGATGTGGGTTCTTTGCTATGGTAACCTAAAAATAAACCCACTATATAACAAGAGGGTTCAGGGTTTCGGGTTTTGAGGTTTCGGGATCCAGGCTCTAGGTCTTGAGGTTTAGGGTTTAGGGTTTAGGGTTTAGGGTTTAGGGTTTAAGGGTTTAGGGTTTAGGGGTTTAGGGGCTAGGGTTTTATAGGGCTTTGTATCAAGTCTAAGGGTCTTTTAGGGTGGTTGAGCTTTAGGTAGGGGTCGGTGGTTTAGGGCTGGAGGTTTTAGGCTTTAGGGTTGGGGCTTTGGCGTTAGGGTTTTGAGGTTTGAGGTCGAGGCTTTCTCTTTTTGGGCCCCCTTTCCCACTATCACGCAGATTATCTGCGGAAGACCTGCGCAGGGTCTACGGTTTACAGTTTGGGAAATAGGAGGCCCAGGCTGGCGAGACGGGGATGTCGATAACGATGAAGGCAGCCTCTATCTATCTGTTTGGTTGCTGATCTACTGGTGAATACATAGTAGGTGCGTATGTATCTGTATACATATATATATATATATATATATTTATTTATTTATATTTATATTTATTTATTTATTTATTTATGTGTAGATGTACCCGACTGCAAGTCTCGACGCTGAAGATAACAACCAAAATAACACTAAAACCCGCATGACCCATCGAGCCGCCTGAACCCTAAGCCTGACATCCACCCCATAAAATCTGATGAACGCCCATCTCGCACCTAAACCTCGAGGTTTACTTAGAGGCCCAGGAGACTTAGTAAGTTTGTTATAAGTAGAGTTATAAGTAACCTAAATGGAATTACCCCAATTATAACCCTACATATAACCGAGTTACTAAGTCCCCTGGGCCTCTAAGTAGGGTTTAGGGGTTAAGGTCGAACCTTCAATACCCGTAAACCCTAAACCCTAAACCCTAAACCCTAAACTCCTAAACCTTCAATGCCCAAACTTCATCCACTGAAAGCCCCTCTATTACGTTTCCCGGAACCCGCGGAAGCCTTCAGGGAACCTGGGTTTAGGGTTTAGGGTAACACTAAGGCCTAATGTAGGGGCCTTAGTAACCAGAATAGGGTGTTTGGGGGTCCTCTATACTATATTTGTAATAAGGAACCCCAAAATAATGTAGGTAATTATTAAGGCCCCTATATGAAACCTCAAAACCTTAAATGGCCCTAAACCGGACGGCTTAGGGTCTAAGTCTAATCTAGGCTTTAGGGTTCCTACACCCCAAACCCTAAACTCTTAACCCTAAACCCTAAACTGATAACCCGAAGATGCAAAGAGGTCCTGCACATTGCGCCTCGCCGAGGTCGAAGTGCGCACAGCGCTTCAGGAGCTCCTGTCGCGCCTGAATTTTCAAGTCTGTTTTACAAGGCTGAAAGGGAATCGAGGTTCAGTTCAGAGTTTCGGGTTTCGGGTTTAGGGNNTTTAGGGTTTAGGGATTGGGGTTTGAACGAAGGCTTTATAGGGCCTCCACATAGGTCTACCGAAGCCAGTGAATCAATGAATCCCAAGTTGCCACGGTTCCGATGTTTTTTCTAAAGTGGGACGTGCTTTGACTCCAACTTCGCGCACGAGCCGCGTAGGCTGCCGCTGTGTGAAAGAAACCTTGGCTGTCCATCCCCTCAGTAGAAGCATGTTTGAAAACCCTAAACCCTAAACC